TGATTACAGAGAGAAATGATGGATCTTTCCAATGATATATTTGTTTTGGATGATCGCCATATTCGAAATCGTGAAATCTGCTGTTGAAAACGATGTTTATTTCTGGGAAGTTGTGATCGCAGTCGCCCTGGGAGCGGCCATCTTGTTTTTAGCTCGTGACATTCACTCACGTTTTGTGGCGAGATTTGCCGAGATTTCGTCGGACAAAAATAGAAATGATATCATAGTAAAGCCAAAAAAAATCTCTTTCGACTCATACCAAGAAAAAGTACGCTAGATTTTGTTTGCCTTCCGATTTTGGAGATTTTTTTCCGACGAAATAAAGGTACAGATTGTCATGATTTTTGGGCCAAAAAATCGTTAAAAATCTCACATGAGGAGTTCATGAAAGACTAAAAAAGGGGTAGTTTCTGAAAGGGTGGAATTTCAGGAGTTTGTGTGACTAGTTTTTTTGTTATGTTTCCCATGACGCTTTTTGACGCTGGGGGGTTTTGTTGTCGGGGTGCCTTCAGCAAGCTGATTAAAATATGGCGCGCGGCGGTGTCACAATGGCTGCCTATTTCTTCCTCTATGCTTTATGCATGCATGAAGCAATAATATTTTTGGTGGATTGCTTTATTGGGGAAATTTACATTATACAAATATACAATTCTGCTATTGCTAAAAAATTAATATAGTAATATTTCAACTGTTTCTGAATATTTTCCAAACTTGAACTAAATTTGCATTAAACATGTTAAAATCAGCTTATTTTGTCTTTGCTTTTTTGCCTTAGGCTTCTAGTTCCTGAATATGTTTAGTCCAGACCAGAGTCTAACCAGACTGTTCTGAGTACAATGTATAATGAAGAACAAGATTCAATGGTTTTTTAAAATTATTTTTGAATATACATCTCTGCATAAGGCCTAAAAAAAGGGGACAAAATAAATAGGGCCTATAAAGTTAATTCCCACTGGAACCTACATATTGGAGAAATGTTGTCTGTCATCAAATACTTCCATACTTTAAAGATATACTTTTGCTAAGTTAAAAACCCTTTTTTTTTTTGCCGTATCATACTCTCAACACACAGTTGGGTGAATGTTAATGCAAGGTTTCCATGCATTTCTATTTTAGGTCCCTGGATTCCCATCCTGGTTCAAATCAACCTCAAATATGACAGCTCGGAGGAAATTTACACATATCAGCTATTAAAGGACTACCATAAAGAGGACCTGAGAATACAAATTTAGGATAATATGATCTCATCTAAATGAACTTGAAAATGTTTTCCAAACCTTTCTCAAATATTTTGAGGTGATTTTGGATTTTTTTTTTAAATTTTACACCCCGCACCATGCCGACAGAATAATTAGGGTTGGACATGCCCCTTTAATGGACCATAACTTCACCATACTTTAAGATATAAACTTATAATTGGTACCATTTGATTTCTTATTAGAAGCTCTTTCCAATGATACCAAGTTTGTAATATTTGGACCCAAAAACCCCAAAAGTGCCGACCACCCTAGTTAGGCATGTTAGGCCTAATTACTAAATTAGGGACAAACTGTTCAACAGTGGATGGCAAATGGTTGCATTTTGATGTACATTTTTGTACTTTAATAAATAGCTTAAATTAAAGCCGTTGACGATTCGTCTGCGGAGCACGCAGTAAACACTCGGTGGTCACACGTGTGTGGAGCGGAAATTTGCCGGTCTATCGGCGGGCTGTCTATCGCGCGCGCCCGGTGTACTACTGTGCATGCTGTGGTGGGCCCGTCGCGTGGCCGCGGCGTGCCACGGTGCGAATTACAAGGCTGATTCAAAATTCAATTTTTTTTTTATTTAATGGGGATTTCAAACATTTCGAAATCATTGAGGAAAAATGTTTCACTGCAGCATGGAAGTATCCTACTTATACTTTTTATAGTTAAAGCTCCATGCTATAAGTAGGTTTTCAGCATAGAGCGATAGCTCCGTAGTCATGCTAGTAGTGGGGTGGGTATCAACATAGCTCCATGGTATCAACGTAATTTGATGCTGCAAACTGTACCAATAAAATGCATGTTATGTTCCAACTCACAAGTTATCCTTTTTTTAAACTTAAAAAATATGACTTTACCTCAGTTCCTTTGCTTCAATCGCAGTAATCGGTAAATCCGGAGTGACCTCACGTTGCTGGAACTCAACTGAATGTGACGTGATAGCGCCGCAGTAGTGTGCATGTGCATGTGTACTGTGTACACGTATGTACGTGTACAGGCCTAGCGCGCGCCGGACTATTTACGTTGTTGTTTATTTTTTTACACGTATAGATAGCTCGCGATCGCTCCGCAAACCCCGCCCCGCGGTGACAATGATGAAATCACTGTATGTCCGAGTCATACTAATTACCGTGAACTAACGTCAACTCACACAATTACTGTCAACACACCACACTTCAACGCCATTGAAACACACTTTAAACTGACACCGTAAAGTTATGAGCCAGAACGCGATTTTGATTTTAAAACAGGTTAACGTTTGGAAAATGCATTTTGTAGCTCAAGAAAACGGGCCACTCCGTACAATTACAAGTCTGCAGCCATTGCCTCGTCAGCTGGCAGTGCAGACGATACCATTATGCTTTTGGGTGATGGCATTATACGATACATGGACTTTGCCTAGAGGTATTTAAAAAAAAAAACTACGTAGACTATGTGCACTAGCAGAGCCTGTAACGCCAATCGTCTTAACATTTTAGTGGCAACTCACAGAACTCACTAGTTATAAGCATTTTGAAACATGTTAATTTTTACAATGTGCACGCGATCGCAATGAACGCCGGCCGCCCCGAATGGGCACTGGAAATTCCAATCACAGCGAAAATTAATTTCCATAGACTGTGTACAACGTGGAACAAATAAGCCTGTACTACCGAGAAGTAGAATTTCATGCTGGCATGCATGAATAAATTGAATTGAATTGAATTGAACTGGCAGATTGACCAAGTGTTGGTTGCTGCATCACTTGAAAATAACATCTACATGTAAATTTGTACATGTTCGTTTTAAACATGGTCCGGATTCGAGGCATGAGGCGCGCGTTACTGACGCAACATGATATTGGTCTATATATATATATATATATATATATATATATATATATATATATATATATATATATATATATATATATATATATATATATATATATATGTATGCAATAAATTCAGAATATATATATATATATATATATATATACATATATATATATGTATGCATGTTTATAGCTCTACAGAGATGTATCGAGCACTGTGAATTGTGATAGAAGACGATTTCATTGGATATATATATATGTATATATATATATGCAATAAATTCAGAATATTCTCTTTCTAATTTATTGCATGTTTATAGCTCTACAGAGATGTATCGAGCACTGTGAATTGTGATAGAAGACGATTTCATTGGATGTATATATATATATATATATGCAATAAATTCAGAATATTCTCTTTCTGAACAGACTGTTTCGTACCATAAGGCACTCATCAGCAGAATGATGAGTGCCTTATGGTACGAAACAGTCTGTTCAGAAAGAGAATATTCTGAATTTATTGCATGTTTATAGCTCTACAGAGATGTATCGAGCACTGTGAATTGTGATAGAAGACGATTTCATTGGATATATATATATATATATATATATCAGCTATATATATATATAGCTCTATGATCATTACAGACCGAGCTCAACTACTAGACTTGGGCCAAGTCTACAAAAAACCTGTATTCTGGGCAAAGAAATGTAGAAAAAATAGTGTGCCACTTTAATAATGTGAACTTGAAATTAACTGAATGACTTGTGAATTTACGTTATGACTGTCTTGTCATTGATTTGGACGACAGAGGTACACAACATTAATTCTTGCGTAATAACGTCACGTCGAAATCTCATCGTACTCACGACATTGACAGTCATGTTTGAAAAGATTGATTCTACAAAAAAAAAGTTACAAAAATTAAGCACCGCGTCCGGCACGTTCAATAATGACTGCAACCAAAGAGTGTACAGGCAAAGGATCGAGAAGAGAAACACTCAGTTCAATTAACTCATCGCAAGAACCGATGTTAACATGCAGCTTTTATTCTACCAAGAACTGTAGGAAAGTTGAACAAGCCACAAGTACAACTGATAATGTAGTAACAACGGATAACGTATCACCAACTGATAATGTATCACAAATTGACTGATATTGTATCACTATAACCGATAATCATGTAGCAAAAATTGACTGATAAGTGTAGTAAAATTTGTATCCGATAATGTATCACGACCCGTGTCGACGGATAATGTAATTACCAAAAAAAAATTATCCGATAATGTATCACCACCAAACGGATACTGTATCAACCGATAACTTATCAAAAATCAACTGATGATGTATCAGTATGGGAAAAGGTGGAAATGTTACAGATTAATTGAGTGCACGGTCGGGCACAATTACCCAACAACTGTTTAGAATTGCTCTGATAAATCGTTCTGTCTTTCTTTTTTGAACAATACTTTTTCCCGTAAACAGTTTATGGGCTTCAACACATATCACCCCGGTCATCACCCATATCATCCCGAGTGGTGTATATTACTCTGACAACACGATGGCGTCATCAGGTGTCAAAGTACAAGCGATTTAACTGAAGAATGACCAATTAATTTCTTTCATACTCTTGAACGAACTAATCAGTGATGGTTGTGTATTGCCAACAAGACACCTCGAAACAGGGGCTTGATGCTGCCATTTTGATTCGTACATGTCTAACGCAGCCCGTTTTGCTCGCAGAATATTTACAACGTAAAACTAAAAGCGGTTGTCGTCAACCTCGTCCCCAGTGCTTACTTTATTTCCAACCGCGTTTCCAATTCTGCGCGACACCCTGGAGACGAGGTTGAGTTGTCGTATAACAAACACAAGTAACGAGGACAAGGCGCCCTCTGTTGCCAGTGGCATCATAATTTCATTATTACCCATACTTCAAAATGGTATAGTCGTCCCGTCTTAAGGCAACATGGCGGCGCTTTCCGGCCTGTTCGTGCGAAGAAGTGAAGCTTGAGTGAGACTGAGAGAGATCGTTTTCACGTGAAGAAAAGAAAATTCCGTTTCCATTAATAATGTTTTATCTCTTAACCGCAGTTTAAAAAAGGTGTCTTAAATGAGTTGACTCTAAAAAGTGTAATTGCGATTGGGTGACGTTGCTTGACGGTAATTAGTACTATCACTATCAGCCTAGTACCACGTGAGGGGAGAGCCCCAAATTCCAAAAAAGTCGAATGTAAGTACAAATTTGCTTAATTTGCACGTTTTAAGATAATTCAAGTTGGACTGAGACCGTTGTTGTTACTTAGAATTGTTGTTTTATGTAACTTATCCCTGGTTCCTACATTTTTTTAAAAACTAGGCCCCTATGGTTTTAAATATGACAAATATAATAATTTATAAAGCAAGGCACTTTACCATGTTTACCACTATTGCTTCGTCCTTCGGATGGGACGTGAAGCTGTAGGTCCCGTGTGTTGTGTAATGCACGTTAAAGAACCCAGTAACACTTGTCGCTAAGAGAAGGGGTTCGCCCCGGTGTTTCTGGCAGTGTCCGCAGCACCTTGTAAACCCTGGTGCCACATAATGGGTCTCATCTCTCATGTACTTCATTCATCTAGTAATAGACATAACTCCCAGTGCCTTAAGTTGAGTACCTCAGTACTCTGTTGCGATAATGCCTGAATAGGTTTCTGCAATGTAGCCATACAGATACAGATACAGACACTAGGCCTAGTCAATTACAAAAATGTGACAAAGAGTCTCACTCAGATGGGGGGTGTCGGTCACTTCGCCCCGTTTCCACTTCGCCCCTAACCACTTCGCCCCTAACCACTTCGCCCCATTTCCTCTTCGCCCCATCCCCAACCTCGTCCCTAGTGCTTACTTTATTTCCAACCTCGTTGGTAGGCATGTAGTGGTGGGCGCGTACTGCATGCTGGACACCCAGGCGACGAGGTTGTCCCATCCCCACTTTGCCACATTACCACACTGCCCCACGCCACTTCGCCCTATCCTCACTTCGCCCCATTCCCACTTCCTGTAAGAAATTACTGTTTATGTAGACTGACATGACTGAAATGAAACGATGTAATGATTTTGGATGTGGGTCATTCCATGAAGTTGAGACTGACAAAGTGTTACATTGGGGTCAAATTTTCAAATTGCTTGTACAAGTTTTGAGTATGCATTTTTTTGACAGCCTATACATTGTGGTTTAACAATTCATTCAAATTTAAGTCACATGATTTTGGAAAGTTGGTAAATTTGTACGCAAAATATACATGTTCACATGTAATGACTATGGAGAAGTTGTAACCGGAAGCCACGTCCTGTCATTCAAACCTTGTTTTGTTCATAATTAATACTTAAAAATGCTTCAAATTCACACCAAACTTGAGTTTATCATCAAAGAGCTTCATTTAATAATATCCATACTTATATACTTTTAAAGACTGCTAAATTATTATTTCCAACAACAACAACAAAAAATAATGGTTGTGGATCACGGTAACGTGGGACACCACTACATCACAATGCAGTATTCTTCACCTCGATATGAATGGAACTAAATGTTGTTTGTGTTTAGAAACGTTCCTACCATAGTGCGGCAGTTGGGTTGGCCCAACTATAGTTAGGACTGGAGTTGCGCCGGATGCTTGATGGAGGGTGTTAATGTTCCGCGGCGCTGGCACCATGTATTTGTCGTGTCTGCGCATGCCGCAGGGCTGGCCGGCCACGTGGTACTGCCAGGTTGGATGAGTTGTCCAGCTAGCTGGGTTTTATACCGAGTCCAGCAACGTTTTTTATGCAAAATTCAAAGATTGGCGTGGCCCAGCTATTGATTGGCGCCATCAATAGCTAATGTCAATGGTCCCAAGTAAAGTCAGACATGTATCAGAGCTGTAGGGAGTCCAGCAACATTTTTTATGCAAAATTCAAAGATTGGCATGGCCCAGCTATAGATGGGCCCCACCCATAGCTAATGTCAATGGTCCCAAGTAAAGTCAGACATGTAGGGCCTATCAGAGCTGTTTTTAGGGAATTTTTTATAGTTGTACATCAATGTAACCTTTGTTGGGACTGAGAAATAAAAAGATTGGAGTGGCTCAACTATAGATTGGCCCCATCAATAGCTAATTTCAATGGTCCCATGTAAAGTCAGACGTGTATCAGGGCTGCAGGGAATGTTTTATAGTTGTACATCAATGTAAACTATAGTTGGGACACAGCAAATTAAAAAGATTGGAGTGGCCCAACTATTGATGGGCCCCCTTGATGACTCCTACATGTAACTACAGTGTATAGTTGGGCCAGCCCAACTGTGGAACTACAGTTACTAGGACCGTCCATAGAGCTATATTAAATTACTAGAGCGCTAACTTCTTGTACAACATAATGCCTGCTGGGCGCATCCATGTTTGGATGGAACATGTGAACTTGCTTTCAACGATATATGCTTTGCCTAAGTTGTTATTTACAAAACAAATTATATGTAAAAATTGATGTGATGTCATCATGACATCATCACGTGACATGTGATGTCATAATTCAAAGCTCTATGCGAATGTAATCACATATTATATGCCACCATTTATTATAAACGGAACTACACATCCTTCCTGGATGGAACTTATACTTGAAACTTTACATGTCACATGTCACAAAAAGTTACTGAAACCGCCCTGTGTTTGTCCATAAACATAAATGTCTAGTCTTCAATGTCAAGTTGTCAAGTTCAACATAATTTTTTTTAAATTTCATTGAATAGATCTGGGCAATATTATTCATTCATCTGACAAGACCAAGTTGGACCCAGACCAAGTTGGACCCAGACCAACTTGGACCCAGACCAACTTGGACCCAGACCAACTCGGACCCAGACCAACTCGGACCCAGACCAACTCGGACCTAGACCAACTCGGACCCAGACCAACTTGGACCTAGACCAACTCGGACCCAGACCAACTCGGACCTAGACCAACTCGGACCCAGACCAACTTGGACCCTGACCAACTTGGACCCTGACCAACTTGGACCCTGACCAACTTTGACCCAGACCAACTCGAACCCAGATTTACTAAAACCCAAACAAAGATGGATTCAGACATGCCAGACCAACTTGGACCCATGCCAAATCCCATCCACCCAACTTTAAAGCTACATGTATAGTCCATCATTTGCAGCTATCCAAAAAGTGACTGACGTAATTATTGTTGAAAAACATACTTGGTTGAAAGATAGCAAGGGGACTAAACTCCCTGTGAAATTATTCTTTCTGGCAAGCTGTCATTTTGAAGAAATCAACGAAAGAAGGCTTTTCCAACGGTGCTTCTTAAGACGCACTGTTGGAAATTTCCATTAGTAGTTCGTTTTTTTATTCTGCGAAATGCGTGCAAGCGTTGACACGACGCACACGTACGGGCGCCATCTATAATTCGTCGGATCAGTGTGCAACAACGCGTAGCTGCATTTGGCTCGGTAAGAACGTGTCTCGGCTGCTGAATTCAGGCCCAATTCAAAACATGATTCAGCAACTTTTGATTTAAATCAAGATCCTAGAATGCTGTTTTTCTTGAAATAGCTGAATCTGAGCTGAAAGTTCATCAGGTTACTTGTTCAGAACCCTACTTTAGATTTTGAGCACTTTTGATGCTTCAAACGAACAAAATGCACAAATTACAAATGATGGAATATACCTTTAACGCATTCATGACAAACTCAGTGCTCTTCCCACTTGCACTTGTTGCACATTTTAACTCATTTCATAATTTTTCATTTGGCAGTCTAAGTTACTTTTATTTTTTTGGTGTATACTTTACTCTACTTTACTCATTCCTGTTATTTCTTTTAAATTTAATGTTTTATTTATTTTTGTTGTACTGCACAACCTCATTTTGGTAATATTTATATCTTTTATTTGTTTTGTGTCAAGTGTTGTCTTGTAACATCAGCTACATTTTGTACCGTAGTCTTTTTGTTGTTTGTTTTGTAATCTTTGTTAATTTTGTTATCATGACAGTCCATGAAGTGCAGTGTTTTATTTTGGTTATGTTCTTTCATTGCTTTATTAAATTAATAATTACTTTGCTTATTTTGAATGCTTAACTCTATTTTTATCTGTAATAGGCCTATTTAATAGATTTTTTAACAATCTGCATGACCTCTGACAGAAATACATGCAAGCGAATGAATAAAAAAATATATAAAAAAAAACATGCCCACCAAATATTTAAGATTTTATTTCTATAAAATTCTTCTTTAGATCCGTGAACTTTGATCACAGATACGCATAAAAAAAACTTGATAAATTTCAACCATAAACTCAATAAATGAACACTTAATCAAAAGTTGGTGACACTGCAGATAGCAATCCGGGTGATTCCATTTATTAGGGTACCAATTGTAACTTGCTACTTTCAACTGTTACCAACATCAATTTATACTCAACAAAACCTTCAAAATTGGTATGATGAATATGCGTCATTTTTTTTATCAAAAACAGGCTAAAATTACAACTTTTTACGCAGAAATTTGTGGCATAAAATGGACCATGATAAAACTTAACCTTTTTCTTTTGGGGAGGGGGTACCTTGGTTATTTGTGAACTGAATGACACGAATGATGGTTAACCCATTGTTTTTGAAAATAAAACTCACATTTTATGAACAATTTGATATTTTCTTATTATCTTTTGTTTTTCTTGTGTTACCAACATCAATTTATACTCAACAAAACCTTCAATATTGGTATCATGAATATGCGTAATTTTTATCAAAAACATGCAAAAATTACAACTTTTTACGTTGAACTTTGTGGCATAAAATGGACCATGATAAAACTTAACCAAGGTACCCCCCTCCCCAAAAGAAAAAGATTATTTGTGAACTGAATGATGGTTAACCCATTGTTTTTGAAAATAAAACTCACATTTTATGAACAATTTGATATTTTCTTATTATAAAAGGTTTCGCAAAAATGGGTTTCACATGTAAACTTTTGGTGTCCCGTTTTACACGCGAAATTGTGTGGTTGTTCTAGCCATACCAACTACTACAGCCTTGTTATTTTCATGTATAATGTAAGCCTGTACTTGGTTTGAAATCATTGAAATGTTTTACAATTTAATTCAAGCAAGCAATAAAAATATGGGAATTTTTAATTTGGAAAAAAACTTTGGTGTCCCACCCATATTTACATTGTGAAACTTTACAATTACGATAAACAGTATTTGCTCAACTTAATATGTTGACATTTATAGCTAAAAATATTATTTTCATGGACATTTTTTATATGTCAGCACAAAACATTCTGAAAAACGTGTTTCATATATCCAGAATTTGACATTTAAGGCACAAAAATGTTGGTGTCCCACCCTAAACTACATGTACATGTATTTACTCGCGAAACTTTGTTTTAGCACCATAATTGGGTGATAAAAATATTGACAGACTTATAATTGCATTCTCAGCCTGAAATTAGCCAAGTCATCTAAAGTGCACACATAAATGGTATAAATAGATTTTAATGTGGTTCTAATGTGACAAAAAGCATTTTGGTGTCCCATTTACACGTGAAACTCATAATTTCTCGATAAAACAAGACATTTTGAGGGTTAGCATTAACTTTGACCCTTGAAAAGAACTTAAGTACCTCTATTTTCAAGAAACTTCCCAAATATGTAAATTCACATGAGAGTTTTGCAAAATAAATGATGAAAAGTGATGATTTGTGCATTAAGTGCCAAATATGTGCATGTCACAAGTTGGTACCCGAACAGCTGGAATCATCCTTCCCCAAGGAGTAATTTGGTCCTAAAGGAATGAGCAAAAAAAAAAAAAAGTTGCATTAGGCAGGTGAAACATTTTTTCTAGAAATGGCAAATGTAAAGATTTTATCAAGTCGAGGCCAACACTTGTAAATTTCTATCAATAGGCCCTAGTAAACTCATTTCACTTTATTAACAAACTGTGGCATATCCCACCTTTTTTGTTTCACACTTTGACCTGCTCACAGCCACACTCATTCATCTACAGGTTAAGAATGGTCTTAAAACCAGCCATAGCTCATTCAAAGGAAATGTTATTGTTGAAGATGGTTTCTTGAATTTACAGCAGACTTTAGTATTAGTTTCGGTAAAGTTAAAATCAGATTGAAAACTTTCAACTACATTTTTACATTACTACATTGTTTAGTTACATAGTGTATGATTATACAGTCAAAACCAAGATGATTAGAGGGTTTTGTTAACTGACATGACTGATCAGAAGATCATACTTTTCTTACATTAGTCCCTCCAAATGTATAGACAATCTTGGCCATATCTCAAGCCTTCAAATACCTGTATGATTTTAACATGTTCACCCCTGTCTTGTGTACTTCTGTAGGCCAACAGTCAGAAGAGGCCGTGAACATACAGGGTGAGTAAAAAAAAACGGACCTCAAACCCCACAAAAATATATTTCATATTTAAAAACATATGTAGCGTGAAAAATAATAATGACTGGAAAGCCAATGTCATAAGCTCCTTTTAGATGAAAAAGATTACTGAAATTTCTCAATCCGTTCAAAGAATATAACCATTTAAACACAATGACCCTAAAACCTCTTTTTTCACAAAAAAATCATTTCGAGAATCGTGGTCACAATTTTCTTCAAAAGCGATCAAACCTCAGTTTGACAGTTGAACATTTTCAACAAAGTACAAAGTCTTTTTTGAAGGCCTGTCTTAAAAAGAAGTGGATTTTATAAATCATATTGTTTGCGTAAGCAGGGTTGTTAATGTGTACCAAAGTTGTTAACAGTTGTTGAAACATGTATCCTGTGTCATTTTCTTTGTTGTTCGAAAAAGTCAAAATACACAATAAATTGCCGTTTTTAGACAAAACGGGTCGTTGCGTTTAAATGGTGATACTTTTTGAAGGGATTGATGAGCAATTTCAGTAATTTTTTTTCATCTAAAAGTAGTTTCTGAAATTGGCTTTCCAGTCACTATTATTTTTGGTGCTATCGGTTAGGCCAAAAAAAAAAATATTCGGTCTCTGGTCAGACCAAAGTTTCGGAATTGACGCGGCCACGCGGTTTTTTTTTTTTTTTTTTTTTTCTTCAAGCTTGGATTGTTCAGACAAGGTGGGTACTATTTTGCTTTTTTGGTGTCCTCATGTACATTGGTGTCCTCCATAATTTGCCTTGGTGCTTTCGATCATTTGCCTTGGTGCAATTTCCCATTCCTTGGTGCTATAGTAAAAAAAAATTGAGGAGGTGCGGAAATAGAGGGCGCTGTTGGAGCTACCGCGGAACATTTTGGGAAAAAAAAGATCAACGCGCATGATTAAAATCGACGCGCGCGCTGACCAGAGACCAACTTATTATTTTTTTTGGCCTTATAGTCCAGTTACGACTTCTTGGATAATATTTTGTGCATTCCAGAACCACAAGGTGGGAATATATGACACATTGTCATGTACAATGTATACTTGACAAGCGGCTGCTGTGTGCATACTGTACATGTATATTTGCAAAGTGATGTGAAGGCAAATAGTGCACCGTAAGTCATTGCAAATATTTTTTGGAAAGTTTTGCCTTATTTTTAGGACCCCAGTTTTATTAGCCTTTGCTCTAGTTGAGTTTTCTGATGAGGGACTCGAGTCGAGTTTAGTCATTTGCTTGTATAGTGACTGAAGTCGAGTTGAGTCATGCACCCACAGGGACTCGAGTTGAGTTCCCGGTACCGTAAGTTATCAAAAATTGTGACTTGAGTCATTGTCATGACAACTCTGAGATGGCGTGACTGGTGTTTCTGAACAGAGCAGAGAAATGAGGTGAGTTGAAAAGACAGAAATCTATCATCTTGCATATATTAAGATTAAGATTTGGGATAAAATGAGCTGGATTAACAGAATGTTTGACAGAACCACAATGCTTTGCATGTCTTTCTGTTGTGTTCCAAATGGGGGTGGTTTGAGGTTAGCCTAGATGTCCTTTCTCCTACATTTACTAATTGTGTCCTCCATTGCATAGAAATTAGAAAGTTGTTTCATGGACTCTCTCACAGTAAAAAATGGAGTCCATAATGGGCTAGTTTTGAGGAAATTGTACAAGTATTTATGTGTTGTATAATATACCAGTCTCTGGTTTATTTGCAGGTCAACTGAATTATATGAAACTGTATCTTAAATTGTATGGTTTATTTCAGGTACATGTATGCCAGATTCTGAAAAGAAACATCTCCGTGCAATTTGATAGAAGGCAATAAACTACCTTTTCTGTCAAGAGAAAAGACCAAGAAAATTGACACGTTTAAAGTTGCAGTCATGAGCTTTACAAAAAAAATGTGCAGAGAAACATTCTAAAAGTTTTCCAGTTCAGCGGACATTATGGATGAGTAAGGGTAAACAGCACTGGATCTGATAGGGGGACGGCAGGTTCATCGTTTTGCAACATGACGTTAAGAACCTCAAACTGTTCCTGCAGTATCTCTAAAAAGCTACAAAGTATTAAAGCTAGCTCGCCATGGATTAGGAATGAGATATTTTTTTCCTGGAGGTTGACCTACTGGTATATGTTTACCTTTGGCACCCTTCCTCCCTGAAACCCCAGTCCTCAGTGAGTCCCAAGCTCCAATTCGTTTTGCCTATGGGTCACCTATACCCTTGGCACCCAAGATTCCTCCCTGAAACCCCAGTCGTCAGTGAGTCCCAGCTCCAATTTGTTTTCCCTATGGGTCACCTATACCCTTGGCACCCAAGATTCCTCCCTGAAACCCCAGTCGTCAGTGAGTCCCAGCTCCAATTTGTTTTGCCTATGGGTCACCTATACCCTTGGCACCCAAGATTCCTTCCTGAAACCCCAGTCGTCAGTGAGTCCCAGCTCCAATTTGTTTTGCCTATGGGTCACCTATACCCTTGGCACCCAAGATTCCTTCCTGAAACCCCAGTCGTCAGTGAGTCCCCAGCTCCAATTTGTTTTGCCTATGGGTCACCTATACCCTTGGCACCCAAGATTCCTTCCTGAAACCCCAGTCGTCAGTGAGTCCCCAGCTCCAATTTGTTTTGCCTATGGGTCACCTATACCCTTGGCACCCAAGATTCCTCCCTGAAACCCCAGTCGTCAGTGAGTCCCAGCTCCAATTTGCTTTGCCTATGGGTCACCTATACCCTTGGCACCCAAGATTCCTCCCTGAAACCCCAGTCGTCAGTGAGTCCCAAGCTCCAATTTGCTTTGCCTATGGATCACCTATACCCTTGGCACCCAAGATTCCTCCCTGAAACCCCATGGACTAAACTGCTGTTGGATCGACTAAACTGCTGTTAACATTGTATATGGACAGCAACTTCAAGCACAGCCTCTGTTTCTTCCTACTCTGACAAATTCAAGCATGTACACAGTCTTGGCTTTTAAAGCTTGGATGAAGAGCGAAGGAAAAGATTCATTTTGTGTCAATCACTGAAGGAGTCCCCAGGTGACCTCCTTTGATCTCCCTTTACATTCCGTATCAGTTTTAAAATATGTCAACCCAGTTTAACTCAGGCATATTACAGGAAGCTTAAGAAAAAATTGAAAGATATATATACATGTATTAACAAAAATGAGCAAAATAGTTTTTATTTTAGAATGAAATCTAACATTTTCAAGAAAATTTAAAATGGAAATTTTGGGAGATAATTATCCCGAGGTCAAAGAGAACCCTGCCTTGGCAAAAACAACAAACTTAGTCAAACTCTGGTGTGCAACATAATCTGGAGTGCAACATCTGGTGTGCAACATCTGGTGTGACATGCTGAGTGGGAGGTTTAACATGCAAATGGATATGCACCAGTAATTAACTATTTAACCTTACCAACCATTATTTGCAATTCCATTTTATGTACATATGTATACACCATTGGCAGTAGTAATTGGTATAAATGTGTAACATTGGCATGTAGAAGGCACTGTATCTGTGTCATGTACAAAAGACCTTTCACCTAACCATAACCATTACAATACCTCTAAATCTCTGCATGTTTTGACTACCTTACGTGGCATGGGTGGTGCAGTGCATAAACCACGCGCCTCTCACTGCTGTTACATGTACCTGGGTTCCATTTCTGACTCGGGTCATACATCATGACTTGTTTGAGTAGAGTTGTTCGTTAATTCTATTCCTGTGCCATGAGGATCTTTCTCCTCTCCGGCTCCTCTGGTATTCCTCGTTATATCCTCAACACTTTTGGTCTGGCTGTACTCCGTGGTAAGACATGTTGTATGTATTGCGGATACCAATAGGAAGAATGCAAAACCCCAACAGTCCTGAATCCTCCATAGTCAGGTGGCATACAGTCGGAATCTTGACCGACTGGCATGACTGGTCCAAAGCACCAAACTTGGCAGATACCGGTAGATTCTTATAGCCCTAAAGAACATATTTAGAAGGGGTGACACCTGAAATTGTTTTGGGAAGGGTGCTTATTTTCCATAAAGCTTTAATCCCTGCCATGTGATATATTTATTCCCGTATTTGGGTAGATGTTTATTTTTTAATTTTTTTGTAAAGTATGGGGATTGTACTTTCATGTCCTTACTTAAATAACATTTTCTAAAGCATATTGGAGACTTGAAGATTATAAGGACGTAATAAAGATCCAAAATGGCTATCATTATACCCTTAAGTTGCGCGCATTTCCTTTTTCATCAGATATCATTCAGTAGTCTTGCCAAACCTCGGTATTGATGAGCTTCAAATTCACAAAGCTACTTACTGGCAAAGTTAGCCTGAAAAAATAAATTGGAAAAAGTGAACATTATATCATCTTGATTTTTAGGCTAAGGGTTACATGGGAGACTTGATCAAGTTCAAGGATGAATCCCCCAAAATAAGAGTTATTGTTTTTTTTACAATAATGATGTCTACTTCCAAATGTTTTCTTACTAATAATTTTGGGAATTTCTTTGAACCTGTTTAAGTCCCCACGTTAGGCATCCCCTCCCCTACTTTTTAGCCCAATTTACGGACACCTCGTTTTTCCCTGTTTTTGTTTTCTGGGCTTAATATTACAATGTTATCATTGTTCACAAGACGGCGGGGATTAATGATTTATGCAAATTAGGCACCCTTCCCAAAAGAATTTTAGGTGTCACCCCTTCTAATTGTCTTCTCTAGGGCTATAACTATCTGCCAAGTTTGGTGCTTTAGACCAGTCGGTCAGTCAGGTGGCAGCAAGTCATTTTTTGCAAGTCCAAGTCAAGTCACAAGTCATTGTTTGCAAGTCCAAGTCAAGTCACAAGTCATTAGGTCCAGTCACAAGTCAAGTCACAAGTCATTAGGTCCAGTCACAAGTCAAGTCACAAGTCATTTGGTCTAAAAACAAGTCAAGTCACAAGTATCTTTGTCCCAGAACACGTCAAGTTGCACATTATTTTGTCCAGCTGTAATAAGTAAAAGAATTAACCTGGCGTGAACTATACGAGTTATTTTGAACATGCCTCCTTTAATGTGTTGCAATTACTAATCTTGTAGTTTATCACATATCTTTCGGATATTAGCCCTTTGTATACTTTAATAAATTTACTTTACATTGTAGAAATAAATGTTGAGATGACCGTGAAAAAAAGACTTCCTCACTCGATTACATGTAGTATACTAACAATTTATTGTTCAATTTTCATGTATACTAAACGCCTACCAATGGGTAAGGCTATCCGGTATTTTACATGCAATTGACAAAGGCCTGCTTTCTTTTCATGAAAGGTTCCTTTCAAAGTTTGTTCAACCAATACATTAAGCAAGAGACAATTGGTCATTGAAAACTGTAGTTTGTTGTGACAGTCTTATTGAAAACTTTTGAAACTAGTGGGAACTATTCATTTTACTGGATTCAGTGGTCTATTTTCTGGAATGAAAAGGCTAATTAAAAGTATAATAGCTTAATTAAAGTGTATTGGGTCGCTCGAGTAGCGTCTGACTTGGGTTGGTAACAAGTCATTTTTTGCAATCCCAAGTCAAGTCACAAGTCATTGTTTGCAAGTCCAAGTCAAGTCACAAATCAAAGCTGGTATTTACAAGTCAAGTCACAAGTCACAAAAATAGCGACTCTAGTCCGACTCGAGTCCAAGTCACATGACTCGAGTCAGCAACTTTGTGAGATACCCCACAAAACCCTGTTAACCAGTTCATGCTGGGATTATTTTGACAAGAACGGAAGCGCGGGATTACTTTTCACTCAACTTCATGCCAGGCGGGTTGAAGCCACCACCTTCGGGCATCACACTCGTATTTCCAGCCTCGCTCGCTGCGAGCGGGTCACTGACAGATATTTCCGGCCTCGCTCATTGCGTGGTTATCTGTTCTGAATACCGAAAAACATTTGCATGTATACATGGCCTCCGGCGCGAATTGCACCTTGCAAAACCTCGAGGTAAACCTTGAGTTATCGCCTGACCTCCATTCTCGGTCCCACAAAATCCTCCAGGTGGTTTTTGAGGATTTAGGATGATTGAGTCTGAATTGCAAAAAAGTGTCTGTTGAATTTGGAGTCTGTGGAGTTTATCTATGGCACTGTTTATTAAGGCTAAGTTTTTACTTAGTACCGGTAGTAATTGGAGGATTTTGCTGGATTGAGGATGGTTCCTAGTCAAAAGGGCTTTGGAGTTAGGGTTAATTTTTGCATTCTACCCTAAAGCACCTTTATACATGCCTTCGGCGCAACCACATTGTCGATGCATCCTTTACAATTCAGCTTCTGCTGTGAATAAGGATGATAAACCCCCAATTTTTTCTTATTTTTTTTTTAAATTAAAGAAATAAATAACAGCTCATTGTATGATGTTACTTACATAATTTTGAGAAATGGTTATAAGATTCCTTTGCACCATATTAAGAAAATCTTTTAGTTGTTATTTAGAATTTCTTTTATTGCTACTTGTAACTGTGCATTTTAGTTGTGGGTATAATGTGAGCTACATGTATTGTGTAATGAAAAAAATGTGTGTGCCTGCGTGGGTCAATGTTTGCTTAAACATCTAAACAATGTTACTTGACCAATGTGGTTTTACGTCATTGCTTTACTTGTAAAACCCTTTTTTTCCCTCTCTAGAAATTAAATGTTTGGTAAAGGCGGCTCAATTGGCACGCATGAACAAGGAGAGTCAAACACTGTCGTCGGAACTACTTTTGATTAATCAGTTAATCACTGGTAGTGTCATCCAGATCTCATCCAAATGGCCTCCGGTCTATCCTCCATCAACCCGTTGCAGAGTGACCTGCCTCCCTCGGGTCATCCCAGCTTCATCAGCCCATCAGCGGCCGCCACACCCCCGCAGTCTCTGCTGGAGACCAAGGGGATACCCCTGGAGTGTTTTATAGAAGATTTGGACCAGCAGTTCATCTGCGTCCATTGTAAGAAGGGCCTGCGATGGGCCATGCAGACGAGTTGTGGCTGCAGGTCATGCTATGGATGCCTACAGAGATATATCAAGTAAGTAACATTTGTAAAAATGAGTTGAGATGAGTGATGAAAACGAGGCTGAGCATATCCATGTAATCAAGTTCTCTTGGCTTAAAGACATGATGGATAATTTGCTTTTCATGTATTTGTAACCACACTATCCAGCTGTCTATCCCTGTAAAATATGAGCCTCCTAGACCAAGTACTGAATAACATAATGTCATCTTTATTGGGATACGAGCAGTGGCAAAGCCACGGGGGGGGGGGGGGGGGGGGGGGGGGGACCGCCCCCCCCAGAAACCTTGTCGCCCCCCCCCCCCCCCCAGTCGACCCCCACTGAGATTTTGAGTTTCTAAAAAAATTATCATTGATCTACATGACGCCATGGGCCCTATTATGTACTACAATGTATCTTTTGCTTAGAAAATATTGGTGAAAGTGGTCAGAAATTGCCTCAGATAGCACCACAGAGCATTTAGAATCCAAAATTTTTCGGGGCCCTTAAGCGGGCCCCGAACCCCGCGCCTATAGCTCAGAATTCTGGTAGCTGATTCAATGACTCCAACCTCGAAAACAATGTTCACAATATGCCTTTAGCTGAAAAAACCTCGAAAATTATGTTTAAATTATTATCTTTTGTGTTAAGATAATTATTGGTTAAAGTGGTAAGAAATTGCCTCAGATCACACCACAGAGCATCGAAAATCCATTTTTTTTTTCGGGGCCCTTAAGCGGGCCCCGAACCCCACGCCAATAGCTCAGAATACCGATAGCTGATTCAATGTTTCCAACCTCGAAACGATGTTCAAATAATTATCTTTTGCCAAGAAAATATTAGTTAAAACATGGAGGAAAGTAGTAAGAAATTGCTTTAAATCACACCACAGAACATCTAGAATCCATTTTTTTTCGGGGCCCTTAAGCGGGCCCTGAACCCCATGCCGTAACGGCTTCGCGCTTCGCGCTTGCATCAGCAATGATCGAGGTATGTCCCCCCCCCCCCCACTTTTGAGAAGCGATTGATGCCCCTGCTTGACGCCCCCCCATGAAATGTTCCAGCCCCCCCCCCTGAAAAATTCCTGGCTACGCCACTGGATACGAGGTCATTGATGGAAATCCAGTGATTAAAGAAAATAAAGAAAAACATAAGCCAAGGCCATGTACAGTGCTGTGCATGCAATTGTACATGTACACAATACATGTACATTTAATGTTGTTGACTCAGAATATTGAGGACTGGACACGGGTCCACACACAGACATGGGTGCAGCCATGTTGTGAATATGAGTGATGCATGCTGGGACACATACATTAGGCATTACGATGTATCGATTAATCACGTACTGCTGCACCCTCTAACATCTATATATATGAGAGAAGTTTACTTCCCGAGACGATGTTTGCTCCTGAAAGGATCCGCGGGCTCCCGCGGCCCCAAAATCGCTCCACGTCCGTGGAAAAATGCGGAGGGTGTCTTCCGGCGGGTTGGACACTTCGGGTCGTCCTGATTTTCCCGTACGGACCGGCGATCCTTTTCGTCTATTTTTCGTGACTGCATTATGCGCAGGAATTTGCCGTCGTGTGTGCTTTCACGTTGACTGCCTGGCTGCCCCCTGTCCTGGCTTTTCTGCGTGTCTAGACTGTGCGAGGTCAGCGGCTTCGACGTAGGGGTTCCGTTTACGTGTTCTACTCAGCCGTTCTGCAAAAGCGTTCACCAAATTGTGGTATGGGGTGACCTTGGTAAAATATTTTTTCTCCATGGTGCGTGGCCACCAAGTGCCCCTATTCTTTCATGTGCTTCGCTTGCCGCCCCTGCGCCGAGTGCAACGAATACTCAGAAGGACTACACATTAAGTATGCCTTGCGCGGTCTGACCAATCGAAAGTCTACACTGCGTAGTATTTCCGGGCTATGCAAAACTGTCGATGGCAACGCGTACTGCAGCCTGCTCCACACCCTGGAAACGAGGTTGGGTCTACGGTGCTCGCTATTTGCATGATTTGAAGCACAAGCATGTGAGTGACGTGTATAGTGCTCTGTTGCTTCCATCGTGTGTTAATACAGCTCCATGCTTCCACCAAGGCTGAGCGTTGCGAGTTCGCTGCCCGCCACAGTGTTGCGTTATAATTTCGGGGGCCTGTCTGGGATCAACGAAGGATCGATGCATTGCTTCAAACATCGCGATCTTAAACGCAGTCACATAAAAAATCAACGAAAATGTGTCCGATCCGGCGGAAGACACCCTCCACATTTTTCCACGGACGTGGAGCGATTTTGGCGTCGCGAAAGACCGCGGTCTCAGATCGTTTCAGGAGCAAACATTTCTCGGAGGCCGAGTAAAATTTGCTCTTATATAGATGGTTGACCCAAGTTGAATAACAGTTGACTCGACAAGTTCCTCGCAGACAGTCTCGCAAATTGTAAGACGTTCAAGTTTACGTTTGTTGAAGAGTCCAATATACTGAAACTTAATTATGACCTAATCAGCCTTCGCCTGTGTACTACGGCAAGCCTTTCAAGTACGTTTTCTCACAAATGCCACTGCCTCACAAAATGCCAATTTAACAGACCAACGGGAACATTTACAGACTGTTGCCATGGTACATAATTATCATGGGCGTCAATCGGTGGGGGACGGGGAATCCCTCCACCCCCCCCCCCCCCATTTTAAAGCGGTGGAGACTTTTTTGGTCCCCTCCCCCCCACTTTTCTTCCCCGAATAAAAATTGTAGCTACTACATGTATAATGATTCTATTACTCAGAATAGCTGATTCAATGACACCAAACTCGAAAATGATGTTTAAAAGATGATCTTTTGCTAAAAAAAAAAATTGTTTTAGTGGTCAGAAATTGCCTCAGATCGCACCACAGAAATTGCTTTTCTATAACTGCATGTCTTCTCAACTAAATCCCCCAATTACATTCATCTCCCCACATTTTCATCCCCAACTCTACGCCCTACCCGATCTATGATCGGGTAAATCAACGAGGGATTGATGCATTGCTTCAATATTGTGATCTTTGAACTATGTTGGGTTGGAATAACGAAGAGTGCATAAAAAATAATATTGACGGTTGTTGGCTGTTTGGCCTTGCTTATATTATGGTTGAACCATGCCAACTTGAATAAAATAGTTAAATCGACTTTTTCCTCGCAGGTCTCGCAAATTGTAAGAAGTTCAAGTTTACGTTTGTTGAAGAGTCCAATACTGTACCTTCATAATGACCTTCCTCCATGATTCAGACTATGTAATTTTATGGTAACACACTCAACATTTTTATTGCAAATGCCACCTTCACGTTTCATTCCATTATGATTTATTGTCAAAACAGTACAATCAGCCTTCGCCTGAGTACTATACGGTTAGTCTTTCAACTCAGTTTTCCCACATTAACAAACGCGACTGCCTCACAAAATGCAATTTAACAGACCAACGGGAAAATTTACAGACAGTTATACATGCCATGGTACATAATTATCATGGGCGCGGCGTCAATCGGTGGGGGACGGGGGACCCCCACCCCAACATTTTAAAGCGGGCAATATCGTTTGGTTCCCTACCCCCACTTTTTCTTCCCCGAATAAACATTGTAGCCTACTATAATATTCTTTTGCTCAGAACAGCTGATTCAATGACTCCAAACTCGAAAATGATGTTTAAAAGATGATCTTTTGTTTTACTATCGTACGTGGTCAGAAATTGCCTCAGATCGCGTCACCGTAAATTGCTTTTCTATAGCTACATGTCTTCTCAACTAAATCCCCCATTTACATTTAACTCCCCACACTTTCAACCCCAACACAAATACGCCCTACCCGATCTATGATCGGGTAAATCAGCTTGTTGTGAATAAAGGCAAACAGCTTTAATGAAGTGGACATTAGTTTCATTGGGTGAATTGTAAACTGGAGTCTGCTTACTGAAAGTTTGAGTGTTTCACCGAAAAGTAAAGATCATTTATCAAGTTATATATTCAGGCCAAAATAAATGTCAAAATATCTCTGTCATTTAAGTACAGGGTTGGATATAACTGGTTAAGCAAATGTGACAAGGTAAACAATCAACTATCCTAACCAAAATAGTTCATGCAATTATATGTTAAAAAGATGCAAAAACTGTAATGGCCTGGGTAGTGAGATAGACTGTCCAGTACCCAATGCTTGTACAAAGGAATTACAAGTATTCTGCCCATATCTTTGACGAGTACAACACAGGTTTGTAAGTCAAACTATTTTCAAGAAGTCCGGTAGTCGGGGATAGTTCCAGATCGTCAACATTGGGATCAACAGCACAAATCAAGAGTGGGCAAGGCAATTTACCGAACACACAAAACTGTCTAGAGTATTTGGGGTTCGGCTTGGAAATGTAACCAGAACAGGTCATGACTGGCTGTGATGTAGGTGCTTGGACGCTGGCGGGTTGAGAGGCTGGATCTTGCAGAGGTAGGTAGAAATCGGGTAGGTGCCGGCGGTTGCCAAATGCTGTTGGACGATTCCAAGCTGATCGTGTCCTTGTAATGATTGGAGATGGAGCACTTGCCCTGGTTTCAGTGGTTGAAGAGGCTGGGGAGATTTGTCGTATGAAGACTTCTTCTGCTGGCATTCTTACTTAACTATGCTACGCCAGGGCGTATCTAGATGTTGGTTTCAGAAGGGATGATGAGGTTGAGATTTTTGTTCTAAGCCGCTGTGACATTAGCCGTTGGGGAGGTGAGCCAAGCCGAGGGTTGGTTTGAAAGTAGCGGATGTTCAGCAGGTTTCGGTACAGGTCTGAACCTTCACATTTTGTCTTCTCGAGTAGTCAGGTAGTGTTTGGGGCTCTAGACAGAGCTTTCCGCGAGGTCGTTGGACTGAGGGAATGGGACTACATGTACTCGTCCTATGCTGGAAACCCAAAGACTCTGCAAACTGTTTGAATCAAACTGCTGTCTAGTGGCTTGCTACATGCACTCATCAATCTCCAACTTTGCTGGATTTTGTTTGAAAGGTCACCGCTAATTTTGCAGTTTGGAAAACTTCACCATAATTTTGCTCTCATTTGTTCTTCCTGAATGTAGGGAACAAGGTGACAGTCTGAAATGCCCCAGTTGCGGGGACGAGTTCAGTAAAGATGACATCGCCAAGGACAGTTTTGCGAGAAAAAAAATGGAGCAATGCAAAATGTATTGTGCTAACAAAAGTCGGGGATGCAAAGAACAGGTGCCGCTGAAGAAAATGGATGAACATCTGCAACAGGAGTGCAACTATGAGCTGATCAACTGCATGCATCGCAGCAAAGGTTGCCTCCAGCGAGTGCAGAGAAACCAGCTCGTCCAACACTTGGAAAAGGAGTGTGCCTTCCGTCGGCAAAAATGCAGATACTGTGGGGATGACTTTGTAAAGAATGAACTGGAGGTAGGTTTGAGCATGGAAAAATAAGAACTTATTCCTCCATGGCTTACGCAACCCATCAGTATGGCGCATTGGGGAAGGATTGACATACAACATAAAGATAATTGTACCGCCTCCTGTACAAGTGTACACATTTTCATTGTGTCTGCTTGTTGGAACTTGAACACGGGTACAAAAAAGCAATGGTTTAAATCTGAAGTTGTCATTAATATCAATATTAGGCTTTGCCCTTCCCGGCGTATAAACACTGTAACTCAATGTTTTACCTCCCGAGTGAAAGTACCCACTGCTATGTACATCAGATTCGAACCAGCCAACTGAGCCCGTTAGCTCCGTGGTCGAGTAGTAAGACGTCTGCCCTAGAAAGCAGGAGGTCGTGGGTGCAAGTCCCACCCGAGTGACTTTTTTGCAACTTTCACTCGGGAGGTAACACACTGAGTAAACGGTGTTTATACAACGGTGAAGGGTTAAGCCTGATATTGATTTACATCACCCTGACGCATATATTTTATCTTGCGAATCATCATGAATACCGGTACTTCTCTTCAGAATGGAAAAAAATATTAAAAAAGGTTATTTGAAGACAGACAGACCCCCTAATTTTTTTTTAAAAGGTGATGTTGGCTCTTTGACTATGTACAAGGAATTAATAGAGCTTGTTGTCTCCATCAAACATCATTTAGGCAATGTATCGGCTCACCTTAAAAAGATTTGAAGAATCACCAAATAAGAGTATTCTACATGTACATGTACTTATCTTTAATACAGTTTAAAAGAGGTTTTTGTGGTACTTTGATTTCTTATGAAAGAAAGTTGTAAGCAGCAGTTGGAGAAGGTGGTAGTACATGTACATACCGGTAGTCATACATTTACATGTATGTATTCGTAATTGTAACAGTTTGAGGTTAGTAAAAAAAATTTAAAAAGACTGATCACCATATCCAGTAGTATACATGTATCAAATGAGCAGCTCAGTAATTTAAGTAAGCAGTCTTATTACATACATGTACACATTGTATTTTGCTTCTGGTCTTTCCCAAGTCGGAATCAGGAAGTCATTATTTATGTAAAATAAATTAAGCGTATGGCAAATTGACAGTATTTTGCATAGCTAATTAATGAAACCTTGGCTCGAATGGTAACATTTGAAACACAACTACCGGTATGTACCAGTGTTGGAGCCAAGGCTTTGACCCTCAAGGCCAAGGCCAAGGCTTTGACCCTCAAGGCCAAGGCTTTGACCCTCAAGCCTCGAGGCCAAGGCCAAGGCTTAACCCTCAAGGCCAAGGCCAAGGCCCTGTTTTATGAAATGACCACTGATATAGAACTATTTGGGGGGGGGGGGCATGGCCCCTTTTGGCCCCCCCTGGATCCGCCCTTATCATCACTTATCAACATTTCTTTAATTGCAATCAACATGCTCGCATAGGCCTACACCGTTTTATGACTGTACTGTATCTATTAAAGTATAAGTTCAGGTCTTCAATATGGTTTAACTAAACAAAATAATGATTTACTTCTATATTGACACACAATTCTCCCAAGTGTAACAAAAGGGGGATCCAAGAAACTGATTTGGGAAATTTTTATTTGCTGGCCCAACATGGTCAGAAATATCAGCATACCCTAAAACAGATACATGCAAATCTTTAGCACTTATCAGGGAGACATATACAACCAATCATATCTATTCCATAGTTATATGCAATTAAAGTGATCATCTCATTAGCCCCACAAGTGTACGGAATATTTTTGCAGCAAATCTACACTGGTAACAAAATGTGATGCTACAAAAGTGGAAGTGTGCCCAACACACAAATCTATAGGGTGCTTCCCTCCTCCATGGTAATACGATTAAAATAGTAACAGCAAAATTTCGAACAGATTTATCTGGAAAATGCAAAAATCTATGGGCCTTGAAGAGCCTTGACTCAAAATTGCAAGGCCCTGAACCCTCAAGGCCAAGGCCAAGGCTTTTGCCCTCAAGCCTCGAGGCCAAGGCCAAGGCCCTAAAACCCAGCCTTAAGGCAGCCTTAAGGCCAAGGCCCAGCATCAAGGCACTACATCACTGCTATGTACCAATATTTCTGGATGTGTCTACATTGCTAATATGTGGTAAGGCCAAAAAAACATATATATTTCTGCTACCGATTACATAGCATTCGAAAAGAGAGTTTGGATGTAGGGAATTTTTTGTGTACGATCATATGGAGGCATCTGTGTGTTATCAAGGGTAAGATGGTTTTGTTGTTTTTTTTTTTTTTCATTTTTCCTATGAAAGACATCGGGGTAGGGGCTGTCAGAATCACGTACCGGTATGTAGGGAAACCAGAAGCAGAACTATTTTTTCTTTTTTGCCTAATTTGTAATTCCTCTGTGTTTCTTCCCATCATTGTTTAGACTAACAAAATTGTACTTGTACGGGCCCATATTAATGAAAATTTAAGCAAATATAACGTATGCCTTAATTCGCATGTACACGTATGCATTCTTTAGACTCAATATTTCACTGAATTTGATGATCATTTGAATGCTCTATGAACATGGTTCTGTTATAAAAAAAAAATAGCTGTAGTTAAAGGTCGTGAAAATGCAAACAAACAAATCTTGTCCAGGTCTCCATATTGGCAGTTTGGAAGTAAACTTGGACACATATTTTTTCTTAACCTTTTTTTGCCGACATTTGACATTAATATCTAAAATATTAGGCTTCTTAGATTTTGTAGATATTCACTAACTCTTTGTTGTCAACTGTTTTGTTTTTCAGTTACATGAGAAGGAGTGTAAGAAATTCTTGGATAAATGCCCAAACAATTGTGGAGAAAGGCTCATCCATAAAGATAAAGTAAGTCTGAGGTTTCTTTTTAACGATGTTGCAGAGAAGTTTTGCCGTGAAAGTGCTACATCGAAACTCTCTGGGTTTCACCTGGTATTTATAAGGGATTTTGCAGGATAGAGGAAGGCATAGCCAAGCCACAATTTTGTTACATGGACCTCGTGCCCCTTGAAGGTTTGAGTACAGAGAATTTACCCATGGTTTTTGGAAGATAGAAAAGGGTATTCATCAGGGATTCAGGGTTGACGAAGTTAGCCAATTTTTCACTGCAACTTATGTACATGTACATGTACAAGCAACTGCTTGTGTGTTTATACCCCCCAAAAGATACAGTTTTGGAAAACCTATTGCTGTTGAATCATTTATGATCAAAAATTGCATTGTTGTGTCTTAATGTCTTCATTTTTCCTTGGCATTTGTATAAATTTGCTTTTTACACCGTGAATATCGCATCTTGAAATAACCACCTATTTCCTGAATTACTAAAGAATTCAGAATGAAGAATTCAGTCCGTCCAGTGCAGTAAGTGGAAACATTGCGATATACAATCAGGAGCAATCAACAGCACCAGTCATACATTAAGCAACTTGGGGTATGCTGTTGTACCCCTACTGATGTACCCAACCGATCCTGCCTTCATCCCTGGCTTGGAGACTTATGCGATGGAGGAAAATCAAGACCTATCTCATTTGAATCAAGCAAGCATCCAAGGAGTATGCTGTCTGACACAATGTGAAGCTGCACCCAAAGATTGCTTATTACAGCGATGCTTTGATCAATGATGGAATGCAGTACATTGTCATCCAGATTGCAAGTGAAAGAACTACATGCGCTATAAACTTTTCATCATCTTTACAGCAACGACCAGTTTGAATTTAAGAGTGCCGGGCCCAAGCAAGTGTACCATTTCAAACTGAAGCTGATCCAGCACATTGAGTCATCTCTAACTAAACATCCTTGAATGAAACTACATTGATTAGTTAAAAGGAGGGGGAAAATAAGTTGAAAAATCGACATTTCAAATATTATGGACACTGGTCCATATACTGCTCTCCTCCAGACAATCGAGAGCACATGTCACCTGGGTTCATATACTGCTCTACTCCAGACAGTTGAGCGCACATGTCACCTGGGTTGCTTGAAAAAGCCACGCCGTTGGTCAGCACCTGGTAAGAATGGAGCTGCCAAAGAATATAAGGAGACAGGTTAGACATGTACTGGTACTTGCAGTAATTTGTCCCGGGAGAGAAAAAACTCGCTTTAAAGCTAGGCTACTTTCCTAGTGTGTACAACTATGCAAGTTAATGTATCAGGTATTCCAGTCTTCATGTTCTGGTGGCTCTAGCTTGTAATTCCAAGGTGGAGGCCACTTATAGTTGCAATAACATGTTTTAGAAATGCTTATTGCCTCATGAAAAGACCTTCCAAGGATGTCAACTTTCCAGAACAACAATGACCTTGACAGTGGATGAGGTTTTTGACTTCTTCCATTTCCTGCATCAAACCTTGTCTTGATCTGGTTGCATTTACACTGTACTTGTTCACTCCGGAGCAACGACTGCTTGTTTGATGGTATGGAACCCCTGACAAGAATCTATGGAGGTCTTTGTTCATGTTTGAGAAGACTCCAACAGGTTTGATGAGATACTAATGCCACGAATGAATTGTACCTTGTTCAGTTTGTGGGTTACACTGTAGGTAAGTAAAGGCCCATCGAAGGTACATGTAAGTACAGGTTCATGAATGTAATCATTTCAACCTGGTGTCATTTAAAACTCATACATTTCCACAATGAACAGAAAATAAAGCACAGCACATCAGTGCTTACCTCTTTTATGGTCGCCAAGGAAGCATTAAAGCACTGGGCCAGCGGCTGGATTAGAACCACCGACCCTTCAACCACAAGTTTTCGTTGTTCATCTGTAGCATTCTAGCTTGCATCAGCAGGTATTATTCCAGCTACATGTACATGCAGAGTCCTCAGAATAGGTTTGAAGTTTGGATTGACACCATAGACTCAACAATTGCAAGTTTTAGAAGCAGTACTAGCTGCAGCTCCTGTTGGCAGTTTGTGTCTTGATGGTTGAATACTGAATCCTCAAGGAGGCTGCTAGTCCATTATCAGAATCTCTGTTCTGATGGAGCTGGTCAAATCCCGGTTCACTGGCAACATCACGGGCCATTGGATATAAAAGTCTTTCTGTGGAAAAGGAAGAAAATATTCCATTGGAGGTGTTTGCCACCATTGCGTAAAGATAACCCTGATGGGTATTCTAGTATCTGAAGAAGGAGGAAAACAAGAAAAGACCATTTTATTCATCTGGATAAAAAGATGCTCTGATCAAGCCTTGCCTGTGCAAGGTTTAAAAATAACTGTTCATCTGTGTGTAATGCTGAATCTCAACACTAAGTGCAATACACAGATCAACACTTTACAAATTACTACACAAATTACTCCCAAGTCTTGCCCCAAGTTCATAAAGTTGAAAGAATTATATATGACTATTATTAACTCAAATAAACAAATAAATAAATATGTGTTAAAAAAATTTTTTATAGCACATTCACAATCCAGATGCAGTGTGTGTTTTGCTGAATGTGCTATATCTTTTCAATTTGTGTCATACCTTTTCAATCTGAAGGTATGTATAATCCTGAAAAATATTAAAGAAATGTTTGTCTTTTTATATATGAACACATGACATGACTTTGTTTAGTTGCTATATAACATTGTTATTGTAAAATTGAAGGAAGATTTTTTTTTCAGTTAACTGCTTATTTAGAAGGCTTTGTGGAAATTTGAATTCAACATTTCCTCTGACCTTGGGTTTAATGTTAATGTTTCTGCCAGATTCCAGATCATCTGAAGTATGACTGTCCTCTTCAAGACAAAGTCTGTATTTTCAACATGTTTGGATGCTCATTTAGTGTAAGTAGCTACACCCTTTGTTCAGTTGTTATTGAATTGGTCTTTTAACTTTTAATTGTTCGTTTGTTTTTTTCAAAATGTAAAATTGTGTTGTTTTAACCTTATAAAAGAGCTTGCCCCCTCTTTCTTGGTGGGGGGGGGGGGGGAGGGGAGGGGGGTGCATCTAACAAGTCTAAGCACATTCAATATGGACATTGTGCAAATTTGCATCTCCCACATACAGTGTGAATATCCACTACATTTTGCCATGTTATGTTTATTTAAACGATGCAGAACTTTGGTGTTAGCTTTAATATTTTTTTAATTTTCTGTAGTTTACCTCATCATCATTGTGGACCTTCACTTTTTTTTATCTGGTCACTCTGTCAGGCGAAGGGCATAGACAGGAAGATGGATTTGCACACGGGCGAGAACCAGGTTTACCATTTGCAACTAGTCACAGAGCACATCATAAGAATGGACAAGCAGCTACAGGAGCTGAATCTTCTGAAGAATAACCTGGAAAAGATGGTTGCCAAGCCAACAGCAAGTGAACAGATGCAGGTACCAGCTAAGGCCGAGAAGCAGATGATGCGCGATCTGCAGGTGGGTCCATGATTTCCTCCCAGAATGTTAAAATGCTTTCATATGGGAGCTAAATGGAAAGAGGGGACATAATCAAGCTCTCCTTATGTTGGCTATACGTGGCTGTTAATAAGGGAATAAATGTGTGCTGGGAAGGTCTTAAACACTATTGTTATGACTGGTTGGAGTCTGGATGGGTGATAATTATCAGCATCCAGACTCCAACCAGTCTTAAACATAGTGTTTATTACCGACCAAACACATATTTATTCCCATTAATAAATAGTTTTTTGGTCAAGAACAAAATCTTTTCAGTCCCAAAATCAACATGAAACACCCCTCTGGCTATATTATGGAATGTCCCTCCACAACTCCTTACCTTATATGGAGATTATTTAGGTCCACTGTTATTTAATATTTATACAAGTGACCAACCACTTAGTATCCCTAAAGACTGTAATTTGTTCATGTATGCTGACGACTCTAAATTAATGTGTAGTTCTACCAGTGTTGGTGAGATAAAGAACAACTTGAATACAGCCCTATCTAGAATATACGATTGGTGTGGCAGGAACAAACTTACAATAAACGCCAGCAAAACCAAATCAATGCTCATTAGAACTAAACGAAAGGTCTGCAGTACTGACCTTAATGTCAGTATTGCTGGTAGTCCAGTTGTACAGGTGAACTCTTGTAAATGTTTGGGGGTTATTATTGATGAAACTTGTAAGTTTGGGCCCACACGTTGAATACGTGAAGAAAACCGTTTGCTCTAAACTAGGTAAGCTAAATACATGTAGAATCCGCGACTGTGTTCCCCAAAGCAGCCTATACACTCTCTCTTTGTTAGCTTAGTTACATGTTTGCCATCTTTATATTATTGTAGTACATTGTACAATGTACTGTTTGGGGAAGACGGTACATATTTCATGACAATATTCTTAACAAATGTCTGAAAAGAGCGGCAAGGATGATCCTGAAGTGTGCCTTCTTTACTCCATCAGTCGATATGTTTGCTAGACATAATTGGATGTCATTCTCCGAAAGAATTGAGTATAAAAAGGCTATTCTTGTTTACAAATGTATAAACAAACTAATTACTCCTCTGTATATGACAAATTAATGTACACCACTTATTCAGATTCGTGAAACAGACAATCCACTGGCATGACACTGAAGATTCCTTTTGCGAAAAAAAGAATGTTATGCCTCGAGCTTTGTTGTAACTGGGACAATCATATGGATTAACTTGCATGAACCTCATTCAAATCTGAACTACGTAAAACATTCAGCCAATAATATTTCTGCATTTATGTGAGCAATTTTTTTTTTTTTTGGCTGCCTTCACTGATTGTACAAATATAAATCTGTGCTGACATTACGGAGTTAATCAATTTGGCTGCCGTAATAATAAGGAGCCGGATGGGAATTTTCCTGTTTTTCCTCCCAAAAGTTTTTCTTCACGGATTTTTTGCCCCCCCCCGGTAATCAGCGAATGTAAAGAAATGTACCTGTATGTCACAAGAAGAAATATGTTGTACCGATGTCACAAGAAATGTCCCAATTCTTCTGTGTACACTTAGCCTAATTTACCTTAGTGATGTTGTTTCAAACTGTATATGTTTCTTTGTAATTATGTACAATATTTATAATACATGTACATGTAGTTGCTTTACAACCATGCAGTAATCACGCATGGTTTTATTTTATTTCATTGTGTTGTATTGTATTTGTAATGTATTGTATTTGTACATGTGTGTATAATCATTTGAAGTGTATGCAGGGCCCAAATGGAAACCAGTTTTAAACTGTTTGGTCATACCCTTGGTAAACAAACGTAATAAAACAGAGAATATGCTCGGAAATGACAATAACCTGCCCCCATCTCCTCCAGAAAATGATCATGCCACTTATGGAGAAAGTGGACAATGTGGAAGACAACATGAATCAACTGGCAAAGCAGAAGACAGTGTCCGAACTCGAGGAATCCATCAAGCCCATCCAGGAGAAACAGAATCGCATAGAGAATCGCATCGTGGAACTGGAGCAGGCGCAAAAGACCGGCAGCGTGGGCAGTAATGCTGGAGAAAGCTCAGCACCTTTAACCATGACCGGTGTGACTACCAGTGCATTGTGTATGTGGCCACAGTTTGTTATGCATTTCCTATGGGTCCAGTGCACGTTAAGTATACCCCAGAAAGAGAGGTGACATATAGACAGAGATTGAAAAACACGTTAAACCGAACTGCCATTCATTTGAAAATGAGCTGAAATACCACTTGAATTCAGTTTTGTTTGCTGTGCATATAATAGGACCATGTACATTGTGTTGTATGCTGTGAAAACTTTTGCTCCTGGGATGCTGCCGTTTTCCAGAAAAGAGGAATTACCAGGGTTTGGACCGAATCATCGCAGGGGAAAAAAGCTTTTCTCAAATAAGTCCCAAACTGACTGAAGTTAAGTTAGTTTGTAATCGGGAACATTATCCATGAGCGGGCAAAAGCAAGCGACATTGACGTTGTGCGTACACATGAAAATGTGGCATGCAAGCTTGGAATGGAAGGACAGGATTTTGAAAAGGAAGACTTTCAAATGTTTTCACAGTTTTCTGAAAAAGTATATCTACTGAGCTGAAAGTTCCACAGGTTTACAATAGACTGCTTCAGATTTAATGTACTTTTTATCCATTAATCAACAAAAATTCAGGGTTTTTTTGGCAAGTGGAATACCTAACCTTTATGAAGGTTAACAAACAATCCAAACTGTTATCTCTGATTCATACTTACCTATGCTTCTATTTGACCTTTGACCTCATCGTCACATAGCTGCCAGCTCTTCCCGTATGACAACCGTGGAGAACCAGATGGGTATGCACGCAGTGCGCATAGCTGAGCATGACCTCCGATTTCAAGTTTTGGAAACGGCCAGCCATGACGGCACTCTGCTCTGGAAGATCAAAGATTTCGCGCGTCGCAAGCGAGATGCAGACATCGGCAAGACCCTGTCGCTCTACAGCCAACCGTTCTACACCAGTCGCTATGGGTACAAGATGTGTGCTCGTGTGTACTTGAACGGAGACGGGATGGGCAAGGGGACGCATGTCTCCTTGTTCTTCGTTGTCATGAGGGGTGACTATGATGCACTGCTGCCGTGGCCCTTCCGTCAAAAGGTTTGCAGCATTTTGTACGGGTCGGGAAATATCATAAAGGCGATGTTTGTATCAAAAAGTACTTTTAAAATTGTTTTAAAATTTGTTATTTGCTTCATCAGCCGTCAGGCTGCAGAGGTTTTTCGGGGAATGAATCTTAAAAATGTATGTGACAGGGGAGAGTTATGTCTGAATTTAGATATCGCTTGATCACGAAGCAACAATTAGTATTTTAGACTTTTGTTTTGGTTGTTTTGTGTTTCCAATTTCATTTTGTTTATAAAGTTCCTCCTTGCTTTGGTTAATTTGTTATTCCTTATGTGCCTTTTAGTACCTTTTGATGGATATGTTGTGCTTTATATATCTCCATTATTATTAGTGGACCCAATGATCCTTGAATGAACTTGCTTTAAAACAGACAGTGCAATTAGACTTTTAAGTAAGACTTGCATTCCTCTGCTAAATTGGAATTTACTCACAATGCAAAATTTGACCAAGCGCATCCATTTTTGTTTGGACAGACATGGTGAGTGGTCAGAAAATGTCTGATGACTTATCCCAAACTTATCCTGCTATAGACAAATCCGGGCGTGCTCTCAATTCTATCATGAATTCTGGCGAGAGCGTTGTGCTAGCTATTGTTCAGATAATTCATCACGGGACAGTTGCTTTGTACAATAGCGTGAAAAATAGTTTCTTTATTGAGGGGGCTATGTGAGTGTATAGCTATCACATGCCCGGACTTTCGTCTATTATAATAATGTACATGTATATATAGACGAATCCGGGAACGTATAATAATGTACATGTACATACAAAAATGAACTCTTACATCAAAGGAGATGAGTACAACTTGATAATAGCTGTTGGACCAAGAACTGAACATTATTACCTGTACATTTATTGGTTTTAAACCATCCACAGGTAACTTTGATGTTGCTGGATCAGGACACTGGCCGGCGCCACTTGTCGGACAGTTTCCGGCCAGATCCGGCCTCGTCCAGCTTTGGCCGACCCACGACTGAGATGAACATCGCCTCGGGCTGTCCCCTCTTTGTCTCCCAGTCGGTGCTGAGCGACTCGGCGTATGTCAAGGATAATGTCATGTTCATCAAGGTGATTGTGGACGCCAGCGATGTGGTAAAACCTTAGCCTAAGACATCCAGGCTCATTCTTGGGTTGTTGAAAAGTTTTGGAGTGGTAGTTTAGGACCAAAGAGGAGGTACAATGATCACTTGTTTTGTGGAGGGGAACAAGTGCGTGTCGGAGCAGTCATCCACAACAATCCTGATAATTAAAGGCCCTTTGATATATTTTTCTTTAGATTAGTAAGCTCTTTCAGCTTCAACCTTCTTTAAGATTTTTTCCCCTCAAAATATTAGCCTTGTTGATCACTCCCCTCCCACTGCACGTTTTCAAGTTGAAAATGTAGGTGAACCGAAAAAAAAAAGAAACTTAAATTCCCTTTAATAATATGAACATGTCAATCACTTCAATGATTGTGAATTTTCGACACTAGTGATTTCGTTGTTGCGTATTTTGTTGTGTATTTTGTTGTAGTATTGTAACTTTTGTCCACTCAGTGACTCGTTATCAATAAATATCACTCTTTCATAAATCCTTTATATCTCCTCACAACGTCCTTGTCTTTCCAACCGTTGATTTTTCCCCAATCTTGCTATTTTATCCTTTCCTCACCAACCCCCATTGTAAAGCAACATGACTAGTGAACATCTTTACACATTTTGAATTGCATTTATTTCTGTTTTCCTTTCCGATTCCCCCCCCCCCCCTCCAAAAAAGGTGCACATCCATGGTATACATGTACATGTGTTGTCCATCATTCACGTGTTCGTCAATTTCCAAGTTGTTTCTCCAAAATTTGAAAGATTTGGTGTCCAGGGTTTGCCTGCACTTGAGACCAGTTCATTTTACTTTGCAATTGCATTCCTGTTATTATCATGAACTCGTTATTAGACTTGTTATCAGACTTGTTATCAGACTTATTATCAATGCGTCCATGGACAGTTTCTCTTCCAGAATTCGCAAATTCAATCCATTACAAACTCCTCTTCTTTTGAACTTTAAAATAACCGTTTAACACTGTCAACATTTTAACGCAATCAAATCAATCCTGTACTGTCCAAAGAACACAAGTTTTGCATTGCGTTTTTTTTCTAATCGACACTTAGAGGCAACTTTTTTCTGGTGCTCTTCGTATCTCATAAAATGTAATCAATTAAGGAAGTGCCAAGTGATGGTTTGTAATGGTTTTGACAGGATAAGTGTAAGATGCCGAGTGTTCACCTTTCCACCTCCCAAATCATTTAGGCTGTGATGTACTTTTTTAAGATGGGCATATCAGGTAGGTCCGCTGGTATTAGAGTGAAAGACCTTTTATACTTGACCCGTTGCTTTAGTTCAACAAAACTGCTAAACAGGCAATTTGAAATCTCCCCAAAAAACAATCACAATAAGCAATAGATTAGAGCTATCGATTAGAATTAATAGTAGATCAAATAATGTTTCACAAAACAAATAAACACATTTACAAAGTTAAATTACCAACTGAACAGCAGGTTCAACGGATAAATTAAAAAAACAATACATATGGACATTTTTTTGAGTAAAATGCTGTGAGTGAAAATATAGCAATAGATATATATGTCAATATAATCCACCATTACCATATCAAATTTAGGTATTATAGTAAAATGCCTTTAAAGCAAATCTGCACAGCACAAGAATCGCATGACTGTTCAGTAATTAATGTCTGTTTAGCACTTGTCTGAATTATGTATCCCAATTTGAGCTTATGATACCACACCTATGCCCGGTTAACAAGCCTGGTCATCTTGCAAGCAAAACCCTGATTCCCAGTCTTGTCAAGAAGGGACCCAGACATTGAAACAAGATCACGCCAAGGAAATAGAAACCGACAAGATATTGTGGGACGATTCTTCTCTCTCAGTCTTTTCTGAACCTCTTTTTGCTTTCTCTGAAAACTTTCTCTGAACATGAAGATGACTAATTATACGGCAGTACAGAATATGTTGAATTTCGACATACTTATGATATAGGCCTACATGTAGTAAATAGTATTCGCCCATGTAAAGGTGCATTGTAACAGTGCTCTCCATCGGCAAAAAAAGTCTAATGCTGGTCTTGCGCTTTGTTTAAGCAAAAAAGGATAAAAGGCTAAGCTGCTTGAAGGCAACATGGACTACATGTAACCAGAATTTTGTATTGACAGAGTTTGTACTAACGAGATTCGACTGTAGTTTAAAGGAAGCAACGCTAATCACACTGAACTTCAGAGATTGTTTCATAACCACTGATCATTCAGACAAACTCACTTGATCAACATGACAAACCAAGTCCACTGTGACTTGCTTGATCAAAAGAATTAACGGAAAAGGTTCCTTTCGAGAAGACATATTTTTCAAGTATTTTTCAAGATATTCCATTCAGACTCTTGTTTCCTATTTTTTTTAACCTTGAAATTAAAAGTTTCGGGGATGTTCTTGCTCTTCTAAAAAAATCGCCTTCAATTCGTGGTTTCTGGAGATGGTTTTTTGAAAATTCATTTGCTGAATGAGTTTTTGAGAAGTGGTTAAAGAGACGTCTCTTTTACTTGGTTTCCAAGGTGGAAAGGTGAACATTGGGCATTTTGCACACAAATCCTCTAATCGTCTTATATTGGGCACTTTCCTCCATCCACCAAATCCCTTACATAATGGCACACGCAGTCAACAAAATTGAATTAGACACAAACCCTACAAAAGTAATGGTGACTGGTCTTTGAAGTAATGCATCCCAATGCAATAAAAGGGGGGATGCGTTCCACTCATGCGATTGGGTTTGCTAAAAGTTTCACTGGTTAAAAGTTTTTAAGAACCTCAAAAATTAATCGTGACATTTGAAGTGAAAATGCTTCCGGTAATCTATTGACTTACTTGGGACGTTGAAAACGGACAATTTCAGCCCCACAAAATCATAACGTTCATTGTGTGAGTCGGCCATAACGTACACAATTCCATAGGGTTGGGCTTGGCTCACTCGCAATGCGCATTCCTGACCACACGAGATAAACTGCATGCGTGCACTGGCAAAGTACACTGTATGCACAATTCCTTTTAATCCAAATGTGCACAGACCCATATTTGCTTGACTGTCAGGCCTTTTATGATGGCAAAGCCTGATGCATTTAAATGCTGAGTAACTTTCTCTGTAACTGAGCTATGTAGGGTGATTTGTGCATGGACTAAGTGCCCTCAGTAAATCTCACAGGCGTTTGGAAACTGGCGCCATTTGTACTTGTAGTAACACGGCTTAACTATGAGAAACAAAACAACCATAGGATGAGGCCCACTGCAGTCCCGATGTAAAAAAATAAAATAAAAAATAAATAAAAACGTTCAATAGCCAAACACGGGGAACCTGATTAGTTTAGACATGGATTTATTTGGATTACAATCCACATAGGTCTGGGTAGCTCAGGCGGTAGAGCGCCGGTATTGTATTCCGGAGGTCGCAGGTTCAAATCCCGCTCCAGTCAATTCCTTTGTTCAACCTAAGTTTCTTTCGGTGTTGTTATCCAACCCTTCCTCATTGTCTGTGTCCAAAAGACCATACCCACGATGAGTGTTTTCTTATACATGTACATGTACAAGTCATTTTGGGGATGATTAACAAGATGTGCATTTGCAAAAAAAAAAAACAGTACCTCTTTAGTTTTGGGATCAGTTTGCATTTAGACTACTGTCTCCGAAGCACTTTCTCAGACGCATTGAAATTGATTTAGAAGTTTTTGCCCAGGGTACATGTCCGCATACGCCAACCCCATTCCCTGCCAAACTAATGATGTTCAGCACATGTAGTCTACAGTGAACAAAGTACACCCTCCTTGGTCCTATCCATGTCGTATCCACTGCTTTTCAAACCCAAGAATGAGTCTGCTGGATTAAAATTGCAATAAACCACTGCTGTCATGATTCACGACCTGCCAGTAGAGCCAGGCCCTGTTTATCCAATAGGTATGATGTGCCTACAGGGCCTACGCACACATCGGGTGCCGATGAAAATTCGAGGGCCTAAGAAAATACCACAGTGTGCCAACAGGCTTTTTGAGCTACCAATTTAGCCTGGCTTGCTTAGTACAGCTTAGCATCAACATGGAATTGGTGATGGTGCCTAATGTGGAGTATGGCCTACCTAGTTTGTGGCTCTGTGGGCCTACAGACTGGTGCCTATAGGGCCTACGGAACATTAAATCCGGCCCTGACTAGAGCAGCCCATATATGAGCAGCCACAAGTAGGAGTCCCTAAAGAGGAACAACCGCTTGTGCCATGATCCATTTGTGTTCATGTGGAAGGTTATACTTCATGTAAATGAGGAAGAAACAACTATCATGCACTTCCTCTTGTCTAGGATATTTTGCACGTTATATTTTTTACGTACGTCCCTGATGATAAAACCAATGTTGATTAAAATTGCGTTCCCTGTGCTCTTCGAGTTGTAACCCCCAGAAATGGATTTTTCCCCTTCTAAATAGCTATTTATCTTGCATTACAAAAGTTATTCACTTTTGAATGTGACATCAACCGAAAAAATATCGATAAATGTACGGACCGGGAACTAGTTAGCTTGCAAAGCAGATCTGTTTTTGCTTCTCTTTTTTCGGGGTCTTGCAGACGTCCAAAAAGGAAAAAATGAGGTTGAAAAAAGTTGAAATTGTTGAAGAGCACGGGGAACACAACTTTAAGTATTCCCTTTCTTTTACCATTGTATTTTCTGTATTTGCTTTATTTGAATCTAAAGCAGTGTTGAAGGCAGAAAATGTCAGTGTTAATAAAAATGGCCCCTAAATAGTGAAGATAACTTTTACTCCGACCCATCTAAGCCCATGGAAGTAGGGTTTGCAGAGATTCTTGATATGGCCCATACATGTAAATGCTTTGATAATGGTGCGGCATAGCCTCAATATGCCAAAGGATTGTGCACTTTGTGATCAAAGCATGAAACCTGGCATGTTGGTTCTTCATGCCATGAAGACAATTTTCAGATATAGAGGCACTTCATATTTGACCTCTGGTGATCTTTTAGAGGTCAATGAATTTTGCATACTCTATTCATAACTTTTGTTCTTCAAAACTTTACTTTTCTATGACCCAAGCCTATTTCATAGGTCTTCATACAATGAAAATAATGATCAGATGTGGGAACAGTTTATATCTGACCTCTGATGACTTTTGATAGGTCATTGACCTTTGTAAACCTGTTTATAGCTACATGTGTTTGTAAGATTTATTCTTGAAATCCCATCTTTTTTCACGATTCATGTCTAAATGAAAGGTGTTCATGCTATTAAGAGAACTTTCATATATAGGGCATTTCACATTAAACCTCTGGTGACCTTACGAGATGTTATGACCTTTGTAAAAAAAAAAAATTGCCTACCTATTGATAAGATTTACATAATTGCAAATCCCACTTTTTTCATGACCCAAATCTAAAACTTAACTCTTTGTGCCATGAAAATAATTTTTAGATGTGGGGACATCATATTTGACGTAGTGATACCCATGGAGAGGTATGAACTTTGTAAATCTAAGTTGCCGTTATTTATCATATTTATTCGTCAAAACGCCATTTTTTCGTGACCCAAGCCTCAATGGTGCCAAAGAATGGTATTGGTTTACAGTCATGTTATGAATTCAGACCCCACAATCAATTTTCAGGTGACCTCTGACCTTGTTTTACTGGCAGACGCAATATGATGAGATTGGAATAGAAATCTGTGGGTCTGTTTTGTAATGGAAAATGTACATTATGTCAAGCAATTATTCACTCGTGTACTTATTTCACCCTGTTGTATCTAGATGGACTTGGCTAACCACGTTTTTAACCTTTTTACCAAGCCCAAATGGTCACTGTTAGAGAGTGATGCTTGTCCGATGTGCCTCTTATATGCAGTTGCGCCTGCGTCTACCCTTATAAAAAGGAAAATTGAGATCGGGGTCATGCAAAAAAAAAAATCTTTGGGGTCCTACATAATGACACGCTGTAGAATAATTATTGAAATACACTCCTTTTGCACTCCGTTTGCACCTCTGGACGGTCATCAGAGGTCAATTATGCAAGTTTCCCGCATTAGGTCATTGTTTACGTTGTATGAAGACTATACACAGACTTAAGTCATAGGAAAGTGATAGGTATTAATAGAGTATTCAAAGGTCATTTACCCCTCAAAGGTCACCAGGGGTCAGATACGAAATGCCTCCATAACTGATTTTTTTTATCATTTTTGTCACAAAATGCACAATTCTGTCCCTATGCCGCACCACTATAAAAGAATTTCTAGAAGTATTCTGTGGGCTTCTAACAATAAGATAAAATAGTGTGCTGTGAAGTTGGCAAGGAACACAATTTAACGCCACCACTGTATTTTTGATGGCATGTTTAAATGCTTATAACTATTTGTAATTGGTGAAAATGAAGTCAGGCAAGCAACTTTATTTGGAAATATTTATACCCTGCAAGTGTAATGATATATCTGTAGATTTCACCCCTATTATCTTTTACTTATATTCAATACAAAATTTTGTATATTTACACATACAAAATATATATATAGCAGCCTTGTATCAGGAGGAAAATGCCAACAATCGTATTTTGTGTTTGATTTAATGGAAATACATCGTAATCGTTAACAGTAATGATTGCGAAAGGGAACCCAAAATAGATCGAACTTTGTTTTTGGTTGGAAGTGTTACGGCAAATCAGTAACAAGTGTACCTTAATAATATTTATTATGTTGTTACTAAACAATGTGGTATCCAGTAAGTGATTTTTTTTTGTTTATAATTTTACATTTTCAAAATGTAAAATTATTTTGAAAAAAGTTCATTTCCAATTCAAGTTTTCTCATCCCTCTTTGAACAATATGATTGCTAGAAAGGTTGTAAATAGATTTCCAGAACATCATAAGAAAGAAATAGCTCAGCCATATAATAAGGATGTGGTGACGAGCGTATCAAAACAAATGTTTAAAAGTTAGCATGTTTATAGAAATTCTGCATTCTCCCTAAGGCCTTAATTGGAAGGAATTGCTCTAATTAGACCTGATAATTCTTTATATACACGGCTATTACAGACGTTGTAAATACTTATGATTTGTCATTTACAAAAGGGATCTTACACATTTGTGATCTCAGACGGAGCAGTTTTTAGAGGTGTTTAATGAAGGGGAGTAATTGTGTACAGGTTTTATGTCTCTTTTTAAAGATTTTAGGGTTTGCATGGTGAAGTGCAGGCTGAGGATCAGACCGTCACGTTTGCAGAGTCACAGTAGAACGTGTGGTATATCATATATAATATGCTTTGCCCGACGTCAGAAAACTGACGACTCGTTTAAGAAGTAGGCCTACATGTTTTGGTGATTTGTATTTGAAGGGTTAGGTGATGCCAACTCGTTACAAATTACTCCATGTTTATAGTTTAATACATATACATGTATATACGTGTATGACATGTTGCAATGTTCTGATTTTGGCATTACCTTCATCTTTTGGAATAATGTACAAAGCACCTGTAAAGAATCAGATACTTGTGTCACACACACAATTAATGACAGATGTCATGCGAAGTCATACAAAGTCACGCAAAAGGTTGACAGTGATTATGACTGATGAAATAAATCATTGTGGGGATTGCTGATGTTCATAATAATTTCGCTTATATGTACATTTTGTACATAGCAACATATGTACATTGTACATAATTCACGTGCTGCTTGTAAGCGTATCGAAACAAATGTTTATATAGCATGTAAATACAAATTCTGCATTTTCCCAAAGGCTACATTAATTGGATGAAGCGCACAAAATAAACCTGATAATTCTTAAGTTATGATTTGCCATTTACAAAAGGGATCTTACACATTTGTGATCTCAGACGGAGCAGTTTTTAGAGGTGTTTAGTGGAGGGGAGTAATTGTGTAAATGTTTTATGTCTCTTTCTAAAGATTTGAGGGTTTGCATGGTGAAGTGCAGTCTGAGGATCAGACCGTCACGTTTGCAGAGTCACAGTAGAACGTGTGGTATATCATATCGTCGCGTTTTTTCCATACTGGCGAACAGGTTGCACCGCGCCTTTTCCATACCGGCGAACATGTATACAAAATTGTATACATGTTCGCCGGTATGGAAAAGTCGCGGTGCAACTGTTCGCCAGTATGGAAAAAACGTGACGATATATAATATGCTTTGCCCGACGTCAGAAAACTGACGATTCGTTTTAGAAGTAGGCCTACATGTTTTGGTGATTTGTATTTGAAGGGTTATGTGATGCCAACTCGTTACAAATTACTCCATGTTTATAGTTTAATACATATACATGTATATACGTGTATGACATGTTGCAATGTTCTGATTTTGGCATTACCTTCATCTTTTGGAATAATGTACAAAGCACCTGTAAAGAATCAGATACTTGTGTCACATACACAATTAATGACAGATGTCATGCGAAGTCATACAAAGTCACGCAAAAGGTTGACAGTGATTATGACTGATGAAATAAATCATTGTCGGGATTGCTGATGTTCACAGTAATTTCGCTTATAATACATTTTGTACATAGCAACATTGCCAGAGACATTTATTTTGGTCCTGATAAAGACATGATTTGGCCTTGTGATGTCTTGTTGATAGCTTGTCGTACTCAGTAGTTACGGGAAGTGCCAGGATAACTGGATAAAATGTTAGCAAATATAAAGATCTTGGCAGTTACAGATACAGATCCCAAAGTGTAGGTATTTGGCTGCATATGTGACAAAGTCTGGTACTGGTAGCCAGCATCATGTATACATATACAAACATGCTGGGAACCAGTCTTTTATTGTCCTGTCTCTTCCGTATGAACTGATTGAAAAGCTGTCCCAAGACAAGCAGATTCAGTATCAACAAAATTCAGTATCAACTTGTTAAATGATTGCTTGTGAGAGTTACAAGCATAAGGGAGGGGGACTACCTCCTTTCAAAGTTCTTGCAGTGATATTATTGTCAAGTCCATCACAAGTCACCCAGTTGCAATTGCACTCGCAAGCTACGAATTAATTCTGTCGGTGTTCATCCCCGTGGCTTGTGACTGGACTTGTGAAAGGACTTGTGATTTACTAATTAAGCGATTGGTCATGGACTTGTGGTGGACTGGACTACGAGAAATCCATTCTTGGCTGTCTTGTATCAAGATAATGTACAAAGTACATGTACTTTAACGATTTTTTTTCATTTGCAGGCCTTGTCTGCATATATATATAATTTCTTACATGATGGATTTTTTTGTTCGTTGAGATGCTACTGCTCGACCACTAGCAAGTTTAATGGTGCAGTGATTAAAACATTCTGTACTAGTAACGAGGATGTTTGGGGTTTAAGTCCCATCCAAGGAAACTTGGGAGTATTTTTCTTGCAAGATTTTCATTGGAAAGCAAAAAGTAAACACAGCTTATTACTTAGCTTGGTTTCAATGTTGAGTTTTGCCCTCCACATGATTGCAAAATCCAACATTGTATATATTGTGTATATTTTTGTGTGTAGCCTATATATGGTGTATACTATTTGACTGAATTATTACATGTATCGTTTGAAAAAAATTGCTGTCAGTTCATCCAGACCTTTTCGTGGTAATAGAGCGTAAATAGCGTTTTAATTCAGGATTTTGTTCCAAGTTTAAAGTGTTTGTATCTCCACGAACAGCTTTAGTGATAGGAGTGGAGCTCAAAGTCAAGCTTGACATTTGGGTTTTTTTTAATAGAAATGCTTGATTTGATAGCTTTTTTCGGGTAAAAAGAAACCTGTATTGTTTTCTTTCTTTTTTGGTGTTCATTAAAAAAATATAATAATAATAAAAAAAGTACAGCTAGGAGTATAGTTTTGAATTGCGGGGTGTTTTGCCTTTTAATAGAAATTAATAATTTGATAACTAGTTTGGTGTTAAAATACATGTTTTGTTTCAATTTATAGATGTTCAATAAAACAAAAATAAATATCTATTTTTGATAAGGTTTGAAAGTTTTAAACTGGAAAGTTTGATTAATACTTTGAAGAGATTTTCTCCATGTTAATTAAGTGTAACATACAAGACGTTACTATTTAGGCCTTCTGTTATTAGTATTGTTTAGTATTACACATTTATTTAAAATGAAAACATGTAAAGTTACCGGAACCTTGCAAATATATATAATCAGTACCGTACTCCTAAACATATTGGGCTAATTTTTTTTATTCTTAATACTCCGCTAAAAAGAACTCTAAAACGTTTATTTTGGTCTTTGGAAATCATTGGTATTCGGAAATACCAGTTCAGGTTTTTTTTAGTGCTGTGTATGAATATACAATAGCTAGTGTTAAAGAAACAGCCACATGGAAATGGTTTTGACCGACTGCGGAATGTTTGATGACAATGATGATTATGATAATACCATCTCCTTTCCTGTCAAATATTTTTTAAAAAATATAGCCACTTGCAATTCCATCACTTTTAATCTTTTTCAATATCCAGCTTTATTATATCCTCTCATTTCTCATTTACCTTTTTTTGTCATATGTACATGTATTTGGAAATTATAGCCACTTGCAATTCCATCCCTTTTGATCTTTTTCGACATCCAGCTTTTTCATCCTCTCATTTCTCATTTACATGTAATGGTCTCATATTAAACGTGACTACATGCTCAGCACATACAACTTATGTGGTAGACTAAATATTTTGGTGTTTATTAAACGTGAATCAAGTTAAGCACATACAACAGTGTGAGACATATTTTAGTGTTCGTAATTAGGTTATAAGCCTACTCACAGGTTCAAGGCAAATTACATGTGATGCAAAAGCAATGAAGTACGTGTTGTGTGTTAGTAAGTACATGTAGGTTCATAGTGTAAATAGAGGACACACGCGTGCATGCAACATCATTCGATGAATTGAGGACAGGAAAGAAAACGTGTACAAAACCAATGGTAGCTGCTGCAACAAAGTTAGATATAAACAAGGACAGGGAAGGGGAACAATAGCAAATCCTCGATTTACACCATAAACAAACGTGTGTGTTCAAGTTCCCAATAAACACAGTTTGCAGAGACATCAAGTGAGAAAAACTTTATTACTGTAAACTGAGACCTGAAGTAATGTGCACCATATGTAAACTTTAATGTTTGTAGTTAAAATACTAGTTGTATAGATGTAGTCGTGCATGTAACAATTGCTGTAGATGCTCACAAAAGTCATTTTCATTCTTGTGATGTTGCTGTCAACATGGTGAATGTACATGTACAGTCGACTCTCGTTAGTACAAACTCTGTTAATACAAAATTCTGGTTATATTATAACAAACATAAAACCTTGGTCCCGACTGTGCATTTATGTGCACAATGAATGGGACTGATGTTCCTCTTAATACAAAATTCTGATATAACAAACAATTTGGCTAGGTCCGAACGAGTTTGTATTAACGGGACTCGACTGTATATAATTTCTGCTATACTTGTTCAGAGTTGTATTTGAATTAACGTAGTTAATGTTACCTTGTAGATTGCACTC